TAAATATGGCTATAAAGTTCACACTCTAGAATCATCAACACCAGGTTTGGGAGGCAAGAGTCAGGAGCAGAAATTGGAGGAAGACTTGCAGACAGGAAGCTCAGATCTTCCAGGTAATAGTCTGTCTACTCCAGAATTACAGACAGAAAGATCCCAAAGTTTAAGGAAAGAATGTGCAGTGCAGGACGTTCTGAAATACTATCTTTCCCTTGGCTAGCGAAGAAAAAGAAGGCAACGCAGCACCAATCAGGCAAAAGCTTTGGTGTAGGAAATCCAGAATTTTGTTCTTTAAATGATGGAACATGAGAGGTTTATGTAGACAAGTTGGGCTCCGCCTGAACAAAAGGGATAGACAACGCACAGAATAGTGTCAGTGCTTTAACTAAATCCAGGGATTAAGAGGACACTTGGAAAAAAATGTGCCAGTGGACACATTTTAACATTTATTACGGCTTTTTTCTTGCATCTTTTACCACATTTCCATATCATTGCCAACATAGTTAGCAAACATCTGTATAAGCTTAAGTTGATTAATACTCAAAGTCCAATAAGATGCATCTGAGTATCCTGAAGGAACCAAAGCAGTAAAAATAGGGAAATTCTGGCTTAAATCTTTTTATATTAACTGAATATTGGAGAGATATCTGCAGTGAAAAAGTAGATCTTGCAGGAATTTTTAAAAAAGCAAAAGTGATGCAGTTAACTAAATGTAATGAGGATAAAGTTACAATATCCTTAACAATCATAATATGATGGAACATCAGAGTAAAAACATGATGAAAAATAGTAAATATTGATTCTTGATGGCTAGATTACTGGTTTTCTTTAATGATGAGACAAAGTAACATTATAAGTATGACAGTGAATGTACTGCAGATGGAACTTCAGTAAGGCAAACACAAACAGAAATTGCTGAAAAAGCTTAGCAGATCTGGCAGCTCTGTGGAGAGAAATCAAAGTTAACATTTCAGATCAAGTGACCTTCCTCAGAACTCAGTTATGAGGAAGGATCACTCGACCCGAAATGTTAACTCTGATTTCTCTCAACAGCTGCTACCAGACCTGCTGAGCTTTTCCAGCAATTTCTGTTCACGTTTTTGATTTACAGCATCTGCAGTTCTTTCCGCTTTTGCTTCAGTAAGGTGCTTTTGGAATGGTATGGTTCGTTTTGGAAAGAAAGTAGGCATCAATAGGAATTTCACAATATATGCATAATTAATTCATTGTCAGAACACAGGAGTTGGTGGTATGGGGATTTGCATAGTCGAGGATGTTACCAATGAGGTCTCCATCTTAAGACTTTTGTTTAATAAATGATCCGAAGCTAGGAGTCACCAGCAGTGGGGCTAAGATGAGGCTAAGCTTTTAAAGATGTAAAGCTTAACTGTGGGGCTGCATAGAATTAATGAAAGGAGGACTTGAGTTATTTGGGATTTGGACGAGTAGGTGTCATGTGAAATTTAATGAAGAGGAATGCAAAAAGCTTCACATGCTGAAAAAAATCCAAGAAGTAACTGTAAACCAAACAGCCAGAAATCCACAAATATGGAAAATAAAAGTGATATAAGGTCCTGATTGACAATAAATTCAAGCCTTCACACAATGTTCAGTGCAGTGAGTAAAACGAATTAGATGCTGGAGTCCATTGAGGTCAATATTGAACCAACCTTGTGAGATAACCCTCATATTTTTAAATCATTAACGCTACCATAATAAAAATATTGCTTTCAATTCTGATCAAAACAAAAAGATATTGAACGAATAGAGAGGAAGGAGAGGATTATGAAGAGAGATGCCCTGAAAATTGTATTAACACACTTTGGGCCTCAATGGCCTGCCCATCAGCCCATTACTACCTGCTGATTTTCAATTAACAGTCACCCTGTTTGTCCGATGAGAAACAGGCAGCATCAGCTAAAACGTACCCCTCCACTATCTCACCAGTAGAGTACAGTAAAGGGCAGGCTTGGAAAAACCAGTCTCAGACTCCATCTGCTCTTCATTGTTTCTTTCATGTTCCCTAATCAGCTCCATATGGTCTCAAAAAAAACTCGACATGAGTAAGGTCAAAGCTTCAAGAAATTCATGAAAGAACAAAGCCCCTATTTTAGAGATCTCTTATTCAGCTGCCACTGTGGCACATGTGTTTCCAGACTTTAGTTAGCTTAAATAGAGCGGTTTAGATGGTGCTTGCTGCCTAGTAATATTATGGTGCGTGCATTCATGGTTTGCATTTATCAACTAAAATCCACGAACTCAGCATTAAACTGGGAAGTGCTACCAAAGCCCAGACTGAACGCAGTCTGCGCCTGCCTGAAAGTGAGCAAGGCTCAGTTGATGACATCAGTTCCCTTAGATCATCTCCTGAAGCTCATGGTCCATTTCAAGAACACAACATGGCTAGAATGTCAGCTATCAGCATTTAGTCAACAGCCACAAACTTCCCCTGGAGCAACAGCATGTTAACCAAAGGATGGGAAAAGGAAGGCAAGACGATTGGGCAGTTGGAATCACAAGTGAGAGAGTAAGTCCCAGCTTACCACACAGTCAGATTGACTCTATGGATGCTCAAAATTGGAGGGTGAGACCTGATTCCAAGCTTCCTGCTCCCATTCCCAAATCTCGCTGACATCTCACTTGAGAGAAATTTCCCCAAGTCAGGTTACCTCTGTCTAACATAGGACCTGGCCTGAGTCAAATTTTTCAAATAATAATTCATTTTTCTTTTTATTCTTCCACAGGATGTGGTATCACCATTAGGTCAGCATTTATTGCCTATTCCTAATTGTCCTTGATAAGCTGACGGTAACCAACTTTCTTGAACCACAGCTATCCTTGGTAGTTACAACCACAAAGCTATTAGGAAGGGTATTCCATGAGTTTGACTCTGACAGTGAAGGAACAGCAATATAGTTCCAAGTCAGGATGGTGTGTAGCTTGGAGGGAAATCTGCAGGTGATGGTATTTCCAAGTGTTGCCTTTGTCTTTCTAGGTCATTGAGGTCACAAGCTATTTGAAAGAGGCTTGCTATGTTGCTGCACTACATCTTCTGGATGGTGTACACTTGAACCCTGCGTACTGGTGGTGGATGTAGTGACAATCAAGTGGACTGATATATGCTTAAAAGAAAATTGATCCCTTGTAGGGAGAGAAGGCAGTGAGAGTGGAAGGGCGAATAAAAATGTAAAAGTGGAGGAATAGAAAGAAGGGGAAATGGGAGGAGCAGAGGCAGGAGACCAAGGTGAGGAGGAGAATGAAATTAGAAGCAGAAAAAGGAGAAAAGTGGAAAAGAAAGAGCAAAAAGAGAAAAAGCAAGAGAGAAGAGCAGAGAGTATGGCCACAGCAACATTGAAGGAAGAGGAGACCACATGGTTTCTCAAGCTTGCTCCACCATTCAATATTCATACAAGATTTCTTCCTCAACCCCATTTTCCTGTCTGCTTCTCAATCAAGGATGAAAAATCTGTTTGTCCCAGTAAATAGGAGGAAGACTGGGTCTTGTGGAGCTGGCTGCCAATGGGCAATTTTGTGGCTGTTGAAATACTGACTTCCACTTTGTATGAGACATCTGTTCTTCATTTGTAGCACAACTGCTTATAATTCACCTGTTCTCCAAGTGAATTGATGATGGAGAATTGAACATAGAGAAAAAGACAAGCCATTTAGCACCTCAAACCTGTCCCACCAGTCAATGAGACCAGAGCAGATATGTAACTAATCTACAATTGTCATAAATTTCTTAGTAACTTTGATTAACAAGAAAATTATCAATCTCAGATTTAAAATTAACGACTAATCTAGCAGTAATTCCCATCTAAGGAAGAGAGTTCCAAACCTCAATTAGTTTTTGTTTGCAGAATTGTTTCCTGATTTCACTGCTGAAAATTCTGACTTCAATTTTTCAACTACATTCTCTCATCCTCCCCTCCCCAACAAGAGTGGATAGGTTCTTTCGATCCACCCTAACTGTTTTCCTTAATATCTTGGAAACTTCAAATAACTCATCCCTTAATCTTTTAAATTCCAGGTATGAAACACTAGTTTGTGTAATCTCCCCTCAAAATTTAACTCTTCAGTCTAGTTTACATTCTGCTAAACCTAATCTGAGCTCGCACCAAGAAGAAAATATCTTTCCTAATGTATGGTGCCCAAAGTTACCCTCAGTAACTCTATATGTCATTTAAGCAGGACTTTGTATGGCTGAAGCATGATTTTTGTCCCTTTCTACTTTAGTCTGTGAGATAAGAAACCATTTTAGGAAGTTGAATTGACAGTCGAATTAGGAAGCAGGGAGACTTGTATTGTTTTCCTGCAGTTGCATTCAGCAGCATAATTTTAGCCTGTCTACTATAATCTTTGTGCAGTGCAAAGGTTCATATTGATTTCGCTTTAAGAGGTTTTATGCTTCATTTTATTCAAAATTGAACAGTTTATTTTTGAAGTTGTTCAATCTCAAAGTAGTTGGACAACTCTTCTATGAAGCATTTTGGAAGGTATTATTAAAGGTGCTATACTGGCAAACTTCTAGTGAGAGATCTGCTAATTTATCCTTTTAACCTGTGTTTTCTCCCCTTCCCCTTTGGTGAAAACCCCTTGGACACTTAATAAGTTGTAATTTCAGTAGAAACAAAATTTGAAGCAGAACTGATCTGCTGGTCCCTCCAGTGCTTTTCTACTCCACGTGGAGAATTGGTTTTGAAAGAAATTATGCCAGCAAGTGTCATTGACACTCCTGTCAGAAAATGTGGAGACTTGTGTTGTTTTTCTGTAGCTGCATTCAGAAGCAGAAACTCTGCAAATTTTATTTTAACTGGTTAATTAAAAAAAAAGCTGTTACAGTGCAAATTGTCTTACTGATTATTTTGAGGTATTTTACACTGGGAGTTTACAACTCTATTTTTGAAATGGGAGAATGGTGAAACAGAGACATCATGCTTTCCGATAAAATTCCAACCAATCACAATTATGTTACAGTTAAGGCAAGCACTGCAAAGAATTACCTCCATATCTTTGCAAAAAGTTGCGTTGGCTCCAAAAAGAATCTGGCACTGTTCATCAGCACTGTAGTGCATGCCTGGCAGTTTAGGAGGTAGTCGCGTTATATAGTGACTTCTAGGGTCAGTTTCCAAGAGGCAGGCACTGACTTTCGACCTGTTAATAATAAATGCAAACATTTTATTAAACAAAACGCTTATCATTTTCCACCAAGAAAATAAGTAGTCTTGTTCTATGGTAATGGATGTGAAAGGGTTAACCTGAGCTACGCTGAAGCCCTGTCCACAGTGATATGTAACACAGCCACTGGGTGGAGCACAGAGCAAAATTCAGGGAGTCCTGGGAAGGTGGATTTGGAGACAGTCATGTCCTCTACTCCTCGTGTTACCACCTGTATAATGTAGTCTGCGTATAAGTAATAAGATGTAATAAACATTGCCTAGATATTCTGGTCATCAGATGTCTTTATGCTGGAGATTCCTGGTCAGAAAGCTCCTGTTACAAAGCTACCCATGAAGCCACAAACCCAATAGTGAAGAAAAACTTCAGAGAAACCACATACCCCTTTGTGGCAGTCAGTGTGCTGAGTTCTAAGATTTAAATGTCCAGCAGCAGAGCCAGTCACTTTTACAGCTATGAAAGGATATGCAAGTATGGGGTTAAGATGGCAGTTAAAACAGGAGTCATGGTGCCAGAGGGTGAGGTTTAGGGTACCTGGTCAGTGAGGGTGGTAGTGTGCCCAGTGTGACATGAGTAGGGTACCAGGTGCATGGTATACCAGAGGGTGAGTTTGGTAGAATGTCAGAACAGAACGGTACAGCACAGGAATAGGCCCTTCAGCCCACCAAGACTGCACCCATAGTGGCCTTTCTAAACTAAAAACCTTTTGCCTCTACGAGGTCCGTATCCTCTATTCTCTACCTATGAGGTTGCTGGCTTGCTTGCCGAGCTGGCTGGTTATCATACAGGGGTTTCATTACCATGCTAGGTAACATAAGTGCAGCCTCTGATGAAGCGATGCTGTTCTACTCCACTTGGAATTTATATGATCCGGTCTGTTAAGTTGGGTTGTGTCATTTCTGGTTCTTTTTTCGCATGGGTTTGGATATAGGGTCCAATTCCACGTGTTTGTTGATTGCATTACAGGTTGAAAACCAGACCTCTAGGAATTTCCGTGCGTCTCTGTGGTTGACTTGAGCTAGGATAGTCACGCTGTCCCAGTTAAATTGGTGGCCTTCATTGTCCGAGTGCACTGAGATGAGGGAAAGTTTGTTGTGTCGTTTTGCTGCCAGCTGGTGTTTGCGTATCCTGACGGCGAGTTTCCTTCCGCTCTGGCCAATGTAATGTTTGTTGCAGTCATTGCAAGGTATTTTGTAAACTACTTGGCTCTGCATGTCATGGGTATTGGGTCTTTGGTCCTTGTGAGTGTTTGTCGTAGTGTGGCTGTAGGTTTGTGTGCTACCATGATTCCTAGTGGTTGTAGGAGTCTCCTTGTCAGTTCTGATATGTTCTTGATATAGGGTAGTGTGGCCAGTGTCTTGGGGCATACTGTGTCACTCTTGGCATTCTCCATCGAGGAGGCACCTGCGGATGAAGTTGTTGGGATATCTGTTGTTAGCAAAGACCTTGTATAGGTGCTCTTCCTCCTTCTTGCATAGTTTCTGGTGTGTTGTGGCTTGTTTGAATAGTGTCCCTATACAGCTTTGTTTGTGGATTTTGGGGTGATTGCTGTGGAAATTGAGGATTTGGTCAGTGTGGGTTGCCTTCCTATATACTGTGGTTTGGAATTCCCCAAAGGTCATTTGTTCTACCCTGACATATAGGAACGGAAGTTGATTGTTGTTTTCGTCTTCTCTCATAAATTTGATCCCAGTGAAAACGTTATTGATGAGATGGTTTGTTTCTTTTAACTTGGTGCGTTTAATGATGACGAACACCATGATGCCATACTACCCTACATTAAGAACATATCAGAACTGACAACAAGACTCCTACGACCACTAGGAATCATGTTAACACAGACACACTACCACAAACACTTACAAGGACCAAAGATTCCACACCCATGACATGCTGGACCAATGTAGTTTAAAAAATACCTTGCAATGACTGCAACAAACATTACATCAGCCAGGCAGAAGGAAACTAGCCATCGGGATATATGAACACTAGCTAGCAGCAAAACAACACAACAAACTTTCCCTCATCTCAGTGCACTCGGACAATGAAGACCATGAATTTAACTGGGACAACGTGACCATCCTAGCTCAAGCCAACCACAGACATGCACGGAAATTCCTAGAGGCCTGGTTTTCAACCTGTAATGTAATCAATAAGCATGTGCAATTGGACCCTATATCCAAACCAATGCAAAAAAGAACCAGAAATGACACAACCCGACTTAACAGACCGGATCATATAAAGTCCAAACGGAGCAGAACAACATCGCTTCATCTGATGATGTTAGCATGGTGACGAAATGCCTGTATGATAACCAGTCAGCTTGGGGAGCAAGCCAACAATCTCATCCACAATCCGAGCTACAAATCTTTGCAAGAACCTTAAATTCTCTACTTATTTATATATCTGTCAAGATGCCTCTTAAATGTTGCTACTGTATCTGTTTGTACCATCTCCCCCGACAGCATATTCCAGGCACTTACAACCCTCCATGTAAAAAACTTGCCTCTCACATCTCCATTAAATTTACCCCCTTTTATCTTAAACCTATGTACCTTAATAATTGATTTATATGCTGTGGAGAAAAAGACTAACTATTCTATCTATGCCTCTCACAATATTGTAAACTTGTATCTGGTCGCCCCTTAGCCTCTGAAATTCAAGTGAAAACAAACAAGTTTCTCCAAACTCTCCTTTCCTCTGCATTTATGGATGAAGGCAGATTAGGATGCCCCGTTCAGAGCCCTCTGCTCACCAGGCCCTTTACCATTTTTCACGCTTTTTCTCTCCTCTTTATGGTCTTCCCTTTCTTTCCACCGCACCGCACCCCACCCCACCCCACCCCACCACCCCAAACACCCACCCACCCCACATCCCCCACCCCAACCCACCACACCACCCCCACCCACTCCCCCCCAACACCACCCCCCCGCCA